TGGCAGGAAATTTCTACTTGAACTTTGCTGCATCAGGATTGGTGGAAATTCCCGCGTATCTTCTTGCCACAATTCTGGTCGAGAGGTAAGGGTGTCTGTAAGAGCCTGGGAGAAAAAGAGAAAAAAAGAAGAGTTGAAATTTAATTTACTCGAGTCTGAGAAAAAGGATGAATGACATAATATTTATTTGGTTTCCCTCGATTTGGTGAACATAAAGAAAGCATCGATTTTGTTATTGATCTGATTTGATGTATGTAATTGTAATTTTACTTTTTTTTCTATTCTTTTTCCAAATTTAGGGTGAATCGTCGCTTTCCTTTGGTGGTGTACTACATTATTGGAGGAATCTCTCTCATCGGTGTTTTCATCATCCTCGTTGCAGGTAAAAAGAATTGAAAACGTTAACATTTAATGCTTTCGACTGAGAGATGCCAAAACTATGTAATCACCTTAGCCAATCAGTAAAATAAGATTACAAGGAACCAATGAGAGGTTAAGAAACATTCGTCTGAACGACGTTAGCGCGGGAGAACATGGAAAACCGAGACGCTACTGGATCTAGTTTTGCATCTGACTGATGGAGAATGTGGCACGAGTTTTTTAGACCAATCACAAAGGGCGGTGAGGCAAACTTGATGCCGCGCCTCCAATGACAATTTCTCAAAAGTGCTTCTCGGTGATCATGGAAAGCATAAGCTTCAGGCGAACAAGTTGACACTTGGTATGATACACACAGTGTTGTTATGAGTGCAATTTTTTCACCTTCACTTTTAGCTTGTTTGGGCAATCTGGAGGCAGTTCATCTGCGAGGATAATTTCTTTACTTAGGATTTCTTTGTTTATATCTTGTTTCATTTTTCAGGGAAAGAAGATGATCTGCCCAGCCTTATCAGTGTCCTGTCCATGATCGGAAAGTTTACCATCTCCGCCGCGTATTATCAGATATACATACACACAGCCGAGCTGTATCCCACAGTCATAAGGTAAAGATCTCAAACACACACATTTAGCAAGGGACCTTGAGATATGTCACCCACTTCAAACCAAAACCAAATTATTCACACCGGTTAATGGGAACTCAAAGTTAAACAGGCAAACTCTTTGAAACGCGAGAAATCGCGGGTGACCAAATCCCAATTGGTTTCAGTTTTGAATCTGATTGGTTGAGAAAGTGGCGAGAGTTTCCAGGACTAATCACAGTGCGATAACCAGAAGCAATTATGGATTATTTTCGACACTCAATCGAAAATTGCTCTATTTTGATGGCCTTTCAATCAAAGTCAGTCGTTTAAGACGCCAGCTTTCAGGCCATTTTCATGGCAAGTGGTGCTTTTTTTTTATGAACGAGAAGTGGCAATTCAAACATATGGGAAAGGTTTAGTTGGTTTCCAGCCACGTCTTAACTCTTACCTTAATGACTAGATGAAATCAATTTCTGCTTTTTTGTGGCCTAATTTTGGCGAAGATGCCTGACCTTCGCACTCACTACCTCAGCTGATAATCAGGAAAACTTGAGAATGTGCGTAACCAGGATTTTTCACTATGAAGTTCGCGGTTACATTACGTGTCTTGCGTGAGGTGGCTTATACCGCTGTTCTACCCTGCCTATCAGTGGGCTCGTTATCAGGCAGCGAGGATGGGAAAATAGGATAAGCACTGGGAGGAACCCGTATCGGGCTCTTGGCACTGGGAAAGATTTATGTTATGCAGATTCTCTGGACTCGAGTTTTTTCAACCCCCCCCCCCCCCCCCCCCCCCCCCCCCCCCCCCCCCCCACCTCCACCCCCTCCGCCCTCCTTTAAGCTACGCCCCCATAGGCTTGTGACGGATAACACTTTTGTGGACCAGCGACTCAAACATTTTTGCTGATAAATGATAACTGTATTGGGAAACTGAAATGAAATTATTGGGTGATAAATCTTTCTCTTGTTTGTTTGCTAAACAGAACAATCGGCGTGGGATTTGCATCACTGTGCGCGAGAATTGGAGGAATGGCAGCTCCGTTTCTTGCGGTAAGGAGGCAATTCCTCATTGATTAGATTTTTTTATCACGATAATTTTACTGAAGAGAGCCTGACGGTATTTTCCTACCATTTCGTAGGAAGGAAAATGTTTCTGCCAAGCCTTAATATACGGCGAATTTTATTCGTGCTTTGAAGCTCTGAACATTTGAACGGCAGAAGAATATGGGAAAAGAGATGGGAAATGGTTTTTTCGCCATATTTCTCCCCATTCCCCTCTCAGCTTCACTGCTCAAAGCTTTGAGGCGCGCAATTTAATTTATTTACATTTGGGATAATTTGTTTAAGTTTCCATTTTTTCTCTAATAACACTTCTCTCAAGATTTTATCTTGAGTAAATTATTTCAAATCGAAATTCTCCGATATTGGAGTCTTATAAAACCATCGACGGATAATTAATTCAACCATCTCGGACAAGGTGTAAAGATAGTCTATGGCTCCAACTGCGACACAACAATCACAAGAAAGAAAGGAAGGTGGATATCTCAAAGAGCCAGATAGAATCCAAATAATATACATACAATTTGCGCGTGAAAACGCGAGTGATAGAGTCGCCGTTAATTTTTACTTTTGCATCTGATTGGTTTAGATCTTGGCGCGAATTTCCTTTACCATTCACAGAGCGAAGTGAGACTTAACCAATGAAATCCCAGATCGCTTTGGACGCTCAGCTAACAAATTGCTCAATCATTATTCACTTCCTATTTGCAGGACAGCACAGGTTTCGAAGTGGCTGCGATCGTGTTCGGTGTGACGACATTTTCGGCTGGTGTCGTCACCATGATGTTACCGGAGACTCGCGGAAAGCCTCTTCCGGATTTTGTCGGAAAATCAAGTTCCGAGGAAGAGATGGTCATACTCGAAGAGTGCGCAGAAGAAGCGCCCCCTGATTACACATCTACTGTGTAGAGTTGTAGGTTTGTGAGGTTGGGTTTGGTAGTGGCGACGGAGTGATTAAGTTTTTGTAGAGGGGGAGGGGGGCGAATCAGAGTCGGATCCACGCTTTCTTGATAGGAGACTTAAACTTAAGCCTTAATAAGGTTAGCAATATTTCAAGAAAAGTAGATTTTAAATATTTCACACCGAGTAGTTACATGCGATCCTGTCGTTGCAAGAATTTTGGTGTCGGAAAGATTGTAGAAAAAAAGCAGAGGTCTTATGAGGATGGAGTTGGAAACCCACCGGACCTTCTCCGTGGGCCCGCAGAATATATTTGGAAAGTTTAAGAGAAGAAAGGATCCGGATTTGAACGAAAATAACGTCGAATCGATGGATCTCAGAAGGGAAAAATGTAACAGAGTGTTGGGAATAGCTAGTTTCATAAGTCTTTTATCAAGGCCTATTGATTTTAATGATTTCAAAACGCATTACTCAAGTGTTTTTCCAATATTATATGTCGTAGAAGTAACTAAGAGATTTTAACTGTTGAATTTTCCAGGTTCTTTTTTTTATCATGAGTCTTTATAGTCAAGGTTATCGCAAACAATAAAGTACTATTATTATAATGTAGTTTGTCTCACCATGAAGTCACCTTTGATGACCATCCCAACTTTTCCATTGAAGCACTCAAGAACAGCTTCCGACAGCTGTGTTTAGCGCATTTAAATCCTCGCGCTAAGCCGTCTTGTTGTGGAAAAAAACTTAAATTAATCAAATTCATGTGCGTCTTTTGGTGAAGATGCGCGAGGTTTACAGGTGAACGCAAAGGTAAACGCACTCATATGCCACCCATTTCCTTTGCGCGATCTGTGGTTACCAGAGTACCTGCAACGCAATATTCACTTCCGGCCAGCAGGTTTGGCAGCGGGGAATTTTTTGAAATTATCCTCGCAGATTTGACATTTACTCCCCTTAATCAGACCATTAAGAAGCCTAAGAGCCCAGGATTCCCATCTTAGCTTAAATGGTTTTTGCCCCTCATAAAATCCCTTGCAACTGAGGAAATAAATTAGCGCAAGTATCCAGCGTTCCAAAGGCGTGCGTGACCTCAAAACCGCGAGGTACACCAAGATCGCACGCGTCTACTAGAGCATCAATTTCTTTTGTTTTAAAATTAAGGTGACAATTTTTGATTTCCCAGATTAATTTCACACCCACCCTTCTTAGCAACCTGCGGTTTTCGAGGCGTTCTGTAAACTCCAGTTTAAAAAAAACTATATCATTTTCTGTTATGCTAAATCTTGAATGAACAACTGAAAATATTTTGATCTAATTCATATTTTTCTTTCCTGGTGGGCGTAAGGAAAGGTAATACGTTCTGCAGTTTAGGTATGCATACGTAAGTTCGGTCGCCCCTCTGCGAGTACTTCGCCCACATATCATATGCACACCCACGCTCCTAAATTGGGCAAAGGCAATCATGAACTAAATGCCAAATACTTAGAAATTATGTATAACTCCTTTATTCTTATAGTCGCTTCTTTTGACGTTTCTTGTCTAGACATTTTTATTTTTCACGGTTTTTGAAACGGAGAATTGATGTCCTCATAGTGCGGTGATCAAATTCCTTCAAATTTCCGGTCAGTTCCGGTTAGATAGACAAAGTATCGATGATGTCTTTTGAAACATTTATTTCTGAATTCTTAAGATCTCTGAACTGAGGAAAATTTAGGTCCGATTTATTAATGTAATCGAGAAGTAAGTGTCTAGCGTTCACCAAAGAAAAAACAAAAATTTTCCACTGATGAACAGCCTGAGGGGATAACGGTCTAGAGATTTTGCTACATCAACAAAAGACACCAAATGATGTGTCTTTCGTTTTTAAGGAGGAGACATAAAATTAACCCGATTAAGCAGAAACTGAGGCAATTAAGGAGTGAATTGTGGTTTATACTGATTCAATTTAGTGAGTTTATTTGCGCAAATTTTAAGCATGCATTTCCGCTGTTTTCACACAATGCTCCGAAGAGTGAATATCAATTGTTTTCTTGACCAATCAAAATTTGACTTTTGTTCAACTCCCAAGGTCCCGGATAACAACAGGAAACGGCCTCGCTAAGAAGAAAACCTCAGATATTGGTCAAAGTATCCACAATTTGATCCAATTTTTCCGCCAGTTACGGCTTCTTTGAGGAAACATGGCCGAAATAGACGAATCTAAGAGGCCCTCTGTTCGTCAAGGTAAGATATTGCACCAAAAGTGTCGAACATCGCGCAGAAGTGAATCCCGTGAAATCGATGTGACGAGATTCAATGATGATCGCTTGACGTCGGATTTGTGTATTCGTCCAATTTCATGCATGGGAAATAGGTGACAAATAGCAAGATTGCTGCGTATTTCATTTAAAACGTTTTGAAATGAAACGTACCATTTTAATTGTAATGATCTGAGCCTGTGTTCTTCATGATTTCAAACATTTTTGTAGAAGAAATACGGCAAACGTTCGAATTTATTTTGTTTTATCCGATCGACGGGTTCACAACTGTTCTCAAATCGGTATGTTGCTCAGGGAAGGTTATCAGTTGTGCAAATTTTTTTGTTTCTTTTTGTAAACCACTCAAACTGTGTCTTGCACAGAATTGAACTTTCGATCCTAGTAGGTGATGGGTGAATTAACTCACAGCTGTTTATCTGCCTGGACAAGCGGGGCGGTTACAGTTTAAAATTTCACTTCGCAAAGTTTTAAATTTTCTAAAAAAATTTCATAGGCACGATACAGCCGATTATTAAAGCAGAACTTTAAAGTAACTAATATTTCGAAGCGTGATAATCTTATGAAAAAGACTTGACGGGCCAAATGCAGCCGATGGCGTTGAGTGAACCAAATTGTCAACAGTTCGTAGCTTACGCCATTTTTTCTCTCTCATAATTTATCATGCAAAGCCTTTCGATGATCATTAAATACTTGCCGGGATTAACCACCATTGTTCCAAATTGTTCCCTTAGATACAGTAAAGGGAGAAATACAGCCCGATCGAAATACGGAAAAAACTTGCAGACACAAATTACTGCAAAAAACTAAACGTCGAACGCCTGCAGAGAGATAAATTCTACTTTGGCTATATATCAATTCAAATTCGTCTCTAAATCTTATAAACTTTACGTTACCTTAAAAAAAAAACACATTTGATGTGTTGTTAGGAATTTAACCTTGTAACTGTATATCAAGCCTTGCTTTTTATGTTATAGGAAGCTAATATTTCTTCCGCCAACAAGGAATACTTCTTGAGGAGTTTTTTTTCTACTTAATTTAAAAACATTTTGCTGAGATTTGAAATTAAATGTCATTGATACTCAGTCGAGGTTTATTACTGAACGTAAACATCGATCTCGATTGAATAAACTAGGTAGTTGACATTTCCTTTTTCCTTACGTACTTACAAATATTTTATGTGACAAAACTCTGCAATGGTGAACTTCGTAATCGCGTGCATCCTTTAAAATCTGAAATTGGATGATGAAATCATTAAGTGTTAGAAAAAATACATTTATTTTGTTTTGGAGTGTTCTTTACTATTTTTCCTTTCAGGACAATAATTGTTTATAATACCTACATAAAATTGCTTTTTACATATAAGATCATTTAAGGAAATATAAGCAAATGCAATTTTGATTATAAATTTTTTTGCCAAAATTTGATACCCAGCGTGAGGTATTTTTTTTGTGTTATTTATAATCCAAACAGAAAGTTGTACTTAATGGCAAACACGTCCGTCAAGTCGTGCTTTTAAGATCTCAAAATCGTGGTGTGATCTGAAACTCCTGCACTAATGAGCACCAAGTGGATCCCTTCTGCACAGCTGTTGCTTAAAGATACAAGAATAATTCTATTTTATCCACTTTCTTAGGTTTGGTAATTGTTTCCACATCATCAAGACACCGTCTTAATAAAAACAGTCTATGAACAATAAGTAACCGCAGGTCCACTAGCATTGAGAATGCTCCTTTGTTTGAAAACACAAATTGGCTTATTTGGAGTCTTTCTTTGTCTTGAACATCATTTGTTTTCAAATGTCCTATATGACAAATAAAAGTTTAATTTTAATTGATGTCAATGATTTCATTTAAAAAAAAAAAAATTGACATTGCTGGTTTGTGATTGAAAAGGATGTGAATAGAAGTTTTAATAGATTCAGTTCTTAGAAAGGTTCGTAGATGAAATTTTGGACTAATTTGTGGCTGTCGTAAATTGCATTTTATTTGTTTGTTTGCAATTAAACAATTATAATATGTATTTGAGATATGTAACTACTGATGAGGGCAAAGCCCAAATCAACTGCCATGCATGAATGTGGGGAATGGATAATCTGATTTCTCTTTTGGAATAAATCTGTTAGTTGTTCAACACTTATCTGTTATGAAATAGATGACAAGTAACAAGTTAGCGTAACCAATCACATCCTAGTATTTGTGATAGAATACTGGCAGGTTGATACTGAAATTTATGAGGCTAGCAATGAAATATATCGAAAGTAGATCATCTCTTAAAAGTCTTTTTGGAAATAGTGGAGTTGATTGTGCCTTAGTGGGCAGAACAGAGAGTTAATGATTTCCAGTGTCTCCAAATTTGATTTGCATTGCCTATTTTTTCCAGTGTGCCAGGACTTCATGGTACGAGAAGATGGAGCATTAGCTCAAAGGCTGCAGGATGAAGAATGTGAGTTTGCCACCCTTTTCTATATTTGTTCTTTTTCTGATTATGATTACCATGGAATACAAATTGTTATCTGTTTCCAGCTTTCGATTTCCATGGCTATTTTCAACCCTCAGAGTTCTACAATATCACAAACAATTAATGTGTACAACTAACAACGACTAAGAGTGACTAGCATCTATTTTCTCGTTACAATATCACCCCTGAATCAAACATTAAACATCATCCCAAAAATAAAGGCAATGATTGCCAACTAAAGACTAAAGCTCTCAATTGTTAAACAAATTCTCCTTGTCAGCACCTCAAGAAATATAGAGAGAGGAGTGTGGAAAATATACATACTGATGTTATGCTGTAAGACTGGTTACTCTAATCGTGCAAGGTACTGAGTTGCTCTCAAGGTCTCTGTGACAAACCCTTATGTGTGTTATGCGTTGAAAACCAGTAACTGTGATGCATTGGGTTTGAGGTTGTTTTCAAGATTTGATGTTGTCTTTCATACAGTTGGTGATCACTACATTAGAAATCGCAGTGAACGGAAAACAGTCAGAGAGAATGTCAAAGCTGCAAAGATTACTTATTTAGAAGAAGTCAAACAGGCTCAACTCCTGCCCAGTGAGGAACTCCAACACATGTATGGATTTTTAAAATATTTTTTATATCAGTTTTATAATATGAAATAAATTGTATAACTTCATATTTTATTAATGCCTCTTACAAACTGAGTTTGATATCCATTCTGTAAGTTACAGACCAAGTTTTTTCTGCTTAGATTTATGGCTCAAGCATGAAGTGGGCATGCCATGTATTTGAGCTAAAAATGAAGGTTCTGTAACTTACATAATAAGATACATGAAAGAATTGCTCAGTTCTGATTGGTTAAGATAAATGCAGTTTTCAGGTTATTCAATGCAGAAGAGGGTCAAGTTAGTGCAAAGAAGTAGCAAACCAGAAATTCTGATTGGTCAATAATCAAAGAGCTCACAGATAGCCAATTAAATGCAAGTCTTGGATGTAGCAACATTTGGATACGCTGAAAATTTGCAAGTGAGCGTTTTAAGTAGGTTTTCTTTCACCACCACAACAACAATACAGAAGCTGAAAAACAGCTTTTACAATAAAAACACAGTAAAAAGCACTGCTTTTTGGTTGTCAGTTTGGAAAAAGTGGTGTTTAGAGAAGGGAATTTCCAAGGAAATAAACAATTATGAGCCAACCCAGCTTAACACTTTGCTCGAGCAATTCTAAGCAAAAATTTAAAACAAACATGGTTAAACCTTGCAAATGACGATTCCATTTCATCAAAAGTGATTCAAACACAGACTGAACAATTCCTTGAACTGTTTAGCTGCCCTTTGAACTTTTTTGCACCTTAAAGATGTGAAAATATCAAGTGGTTGTCTTGATGGAATGCACAATGTCACTTGCAGGGTTTGAATAAATTATTTTTGCACTTGATGCTTGCACTTTGCTTCTGCATGATGAGGTATCTCATATTTTTTCATGTATTTTATTAATACATAATCACATGATTTTTCTTGAATGTGCAATTTGGAATAAATAAGCACTTGTACATTTTTTCAAAGACCACAAATTGCACCCACCCTACAGGCTTGTGCAATTTTGTTAGTCTTTGAAAAAATTTACTTGTGCTTATTTATTCCAAATTGCACAAGAAAAATCATGTGATTGCCTATACATATGGACTGAGAACACGAGGGTGGTAAGAGATTTATTATATCAAACAAACTTTTGAATTAAGCAGTCATGCCTTTAGTCTGATGCTTATGAATGTGGTATATTTTATACATTTAAAATAATGCCTCTTCAAACTTGTTAATTTGTAGAAATTGTGCAATAAGCAATACAAAAAATGCACTGAAAGTCTTTGGATCATGTACAGCCTTCTAGAGATATTCTGTCACTCTGAAACAATATTAGTTTGGGATACACTACGCTGTCTTATTTACGGAAAGGCCAATATCAGTTTCGCCTACCTCCAGCTAGTAGTAACTGTGGTATTTAGGAGGCACAGGTTCAAATCGTGTCAAAACCTGAAGTTTTTTCAGCTTCTTTTCTGTTACAGCTTAAAACTGCTGTCCACTGACAAGGATGCTTTTTTCGCTTGCTTGATCATATAATTATTACAGACCGGTATTGATTTGGATAATTTCTCATTCAATGTAAATATTCAACAGGAAATACTGGTATTTGATAACAATGTTATCGCTAATGACCAAACTGTATGAGGAAATATTAGTTGTCTGTGATGTGAAAATGTCTGGAATGCAATGAATATCAGATATGTTTTCCAAAGTGAAGTGAATCATTTTACTGGAATGCATTATATTCTATCGCCAAATTATTTGAGTTGAAAGCATTGTCTATAATTAGACACAGCATGGAGTTTACTATAAACTAGCGTGTCAGATCAATATATTTTCTTTTCGGTGTTGATAAGAAGCACGTGTAAAACCATCAATCATTCTTTGATGTTAACTATCAAAAAATCCAAGAGTAGAATAGAACAGTCAGCAATTCACATTAATTTTTCAGTTTGTCTCAATGGTTGTTGAAACTTCACTGTAATGTGCTGATACTGAAAAAGCGTTTTGTAGGATTTTTTTCTTTCTGTGTGATTGGTTTTATTTTGAGTGCATGAGCCTTTCTGTCATGCGTTTTAATAATTATTTTGAGAAATTAGCAGGTCACATTATAATAAGTAAACCATTAATAAGGTTCTTTCAAGATCAAACCAGTTTTCACTACACCTAGTAATTCACATTTTCAGTTTTGCTTCGTGGCTTTTTAAACTTTGCAGTAATGTGCCAAGACATTGCCCTTGAACTTCCAAGATCCAATCATTGTAAATTCTCCCCTCTAGCTGTGGCTTATTTTCTTGTAACTTAGTCACAAGAATTTGATGTTAGATCAAGATAACAACTGATACGTGATAGGTTTTTATCCTCTCATTACCCATTTGCTGGATAATGTTTGGATGATATGGGGAAAAGTAGCAAGTTGATCACTTCTATTGGTTTTCTTTTTATTTCTCAGTTGGTTTTTTTCTTTCTTTTTTGTGGTAAGTTTAATTTTAGTACCCTAGATTTACCTTGTGAGATGAAAATATTGTGTTCGTGGGGCGTGAAGGATCAGTTCCTACTTAGACATTGTCTTTGAATTGGTGATACTAGCCGAAGATAAAAATGATATTGGACTTTATGTAAATAAAAATTAAAAGCATTTTGTGATAATCCCTTGTTATTAATACTGATATTATCTGACTCAGTGTGCCTGCCTCAGGGTGACAAGGTATCTCTAGAAGGCTGTAAACGATCCAAAGACTTTCAGTGCAATTTTTTGTTTTGCTTATTACACAAATGCTACAAATTAACAATTTTGAATGGGCATTTTGTTTATCAAATATATTGCATGACCATCAGACGATTGCATGACTGTAATGTAGGCAATATCATTATAATTAATTCATCGGAAGTAAAACAGAAATAATTTGAAGCCACGTTGGCTAAAGTCCATTCAGCATAGCACAGTTATGCGGCGGTTAGCGAAACGTTCACTTCTCAAGAGTGATTTAGAAATTCTGTTCAGTTTGGTGAGTAAACATCTTGAAACTGGTTGGGATTTTTGTGCATAGATTGATGTTTGTACTGTTGTTTTTTTTTTTTGGAATCAGTACTAAGTTTAATTCTTTTTAAAGCGGCTGATTTTTATGTTTCGTTTGTCAGTATTTATTGCCATAAATTGAAACAGCAAGGGAAATAAAGATTGCCATGGTTTAAAAGAATTTGAGCAAAGGAAAAAAACTGAAGCATGCATGCACAACATATCCATGCTTTTGGTTCACTTTGATAGTTCAAAGCAGCTCTGCTGTTCTCCTAAGGACTGTTTATAAGCCAGAAAACTGTGGGATTGCATGACTCAGAAGAAAGTGATTAAAAATATAGATCACGTTATCGGTAAATAATTCATTTTTTCTTGCTTTAGGGCACATCCAGAAGAGTGGCTTGCAAGTGATCTTCAACATAAACTACAAACTGAAGTGAGTACTTGAAAATATGTATTTAGAATTCTTCGATGTTCCCCTTCATAGAAACAACTGTATTTTCTGTAGATGGAGCTGAAGTTAGTGTTGAATTGCTTTTAATCTGGCAGTATTCCATCTTAACATACAGCTGTATCTGAATTTTTCATAATCAAATTGTACATGATGATGTCAGTGAATTTATAATACCCTTGCTTTGCTACAAATGAAGACAACCAAATTCACAGCTATAACAAAAGACATGTAAACTCCTTTTGTTTTCCGTTATGGAGAGCAAACATTTGGTAGTTTTACATTTTCTATCAAGACCCAAGGTATTTCAACTCTCCTGCTCAAGAGATCACTGGGTCTTCACGTTTTGCATCCTTCTAAAAAAAACTTAAAATATCTATTCTTGACCTCTCCTAATTCTACTATGGGCTATTAAACGGTTTATCAACCTATCATTTACTATGTCTGAACTGTCTAGAGTTATTTTGTCTTGTTCTACTTGTGAGAGACCCTAAATTTACAAGCCTTAAATTATTTTTATAAAAGTTTCCTAGCCACTAATCTGTTTTGTTGTCGTTTTTTTTTTTAATTTTTACCTATTGCTATCAATCATTGTAATTTTATACATTATGGCAAATAAAATGGTGAAATAAATATAAACGTTTTAGCATCAATCTGGTTTCATTTCAGTTTTGATGTATGATATTAAATGAATACATCCTGTTATTTAGGAAGTAGATTGTGAAAGAAAACGAAGAGATTCTGAACTGAAAGACCAGGTAAACATTACACATTTTCTGTCTTGTTACATCTAATATGAACCAACAAGATTTATTTTTTTTATGTTCTCAAGGCTAATTTGCTGTTGATTAATTTCAAAATGTGCTTTGATGAATCAATATTTTTGCAAATAACTGTTAGTAATGGATGGCTTTGAAGCCATGTTAAATTTTTTGCTGTAACATCCATAAGCCAGTTTCTTGATCTGCTAGATGTTAAGAGATTGTGTTCTATTTTTGTTTACTCGTAAAATTGTTTTGCTGTTTTTGATTTCTTACCTTGCACAATTTTTTATTGCTGAATTCTCATTAAATCTGTAGAAAATCATGAACAAATAACACATCTCCTATGGAGCTGTTTACATACATGTGTCACTTCCTGAAAGCCTTTCACTTTCAGAGTGACCAAAAATAAGTTATTTCATCGTTGTGTCAACAGAAAGACGTTGCAAAGAATGAGAATTTTCATATTTTGGACATTGCTTATTGAAAACCAAATTCTCAAACCTAATATTAATGAAATGTTTGGCAGACAGGGAGGAGAGGTGATGTAGCTATTAACGGACTGAATGTAATTCCCTTGTTCAATGAGCAGGGTCCACAGTTTAAGTGCCTACGTGGTGAACTGCATTGCAAAGAATGTTTGTGAAATTAAGTTCAAAGCTCGTTAAGCAATTTCCAATTAAGTGGTCAAAGAAATCTAGAATTGAGTTGGTTTTTCTTGACACGCCCTGTGATTGGTTTATAAAACTCGCGCCACTTTCTCCACCAATCAGATGAAAAACTGAAATCAATCGTGATCTAGTCATTCGCATTTTCCCGCGCTCCAGGCAGTTGGTGTTTAATTACTCTGAGATCTCATTGGCTCCTTGTGACATAGTCCATTCCTCTGATTGGCCTTTGATATTACTTTGGTTTTGGTGACATTCCATTGGAAAGCGCTCTTAATTCTTAAAATGTACAATTTCTTTTTTTTGCTAGGAGATTGCGAGACAACTGCAAGAAAGAGAAGCTATGAAACTCGAACGTGCAAGACAGAGAAGATTGGAAAGACAACTTAAGGAAGAGAGGGAAAGTAAAATTCTTCAGGAAGCTATATCAGGGTTGAACGATCACAATGACAATCAAGTGAATCACCGGCAACATGCTGAAACTCAAAGAGGTTTGATTATTTACAATTTTTGATTTTAGTCTACTTGAAGTATATGTGACGCCGTAGAATTTACACGATAAAACGCAACGCCGCTCTCAGGGAAATGTCACTCTTGATTGAACGATACACATTAATGCAAAAGGACCATTAAACGCCGCCCCTGTATGAACGCCGCACATTTCGATTGAGGGTCGTAAAACTTAAACCGAAGAAATCACAACAGCCAATCAGAACTGGAGTAAACAGGTTTGAGGCGCGGGAAAACGCGGATGACCAAGTTGCGATTGGCTTTAATTTTGCATTTGATTGGTTGAAAATTTGACGCTGGTTTTCTTAACCAATCGCGAGACTGAGTAAAGTAGAAGCACCGCAATTCCTGATTACTTTCGATACTCACTTAGAAATTGCTGTAACTCCACAGTTTAAAAAAAATGATTTAGTTTTTGATGTTATGGAATTTATTTCCTTGCAGCCCCTGCTCCTGCAGGATTAAGGAATGGTCGATCTTCTCCGGATACAGAGGAGACCAAGCCTCGTCGCCATGTCAGAGGAGAAGGTAGCAATGGTAGAGGGTCTGAAAAGAGATACAGCATTGGAGAAGGAGCTGTGGTGCAACTACCACCCAGCGAGGGAGGACGATTAGAATGTGACAGGATTATCTTAGCTGATGGAACAGCTATTGACCTGTTTGACGAGAATGAGGACAAGGGTGCTCGGGAGCAGGCGCATAAGAGATCTCGAGAGAGACAAGATGAGGTAAAAACCATGAAATATGTGCTTTTTTCAAGTGATAAAAAATAGTCCTCCGAGAGGACATGTGCTTACTGGTACTAGATGGCTCACCTAGTTACATTGTGCATATGATTGCGGAATTGTTATCGGTGTCAAGTAAATGATGTCAGTGTAATTAGAATCATATGCTATCAAAACAAGATGGCAGGGTTTGTGGTGTGGTAATGTTCGGGGTGAAACAGCTTCGGAAGTTACGGACTATAATCTCACTCACAACATGATGACATAATGCGTACTGGCCTTTTGCCAGTAAGCGCAAAAATCATTCATTTCACTTCGGGATCCGGAAGTCTTCGGAAATTACGGACCATTTCACTCACAACATGATGACTTAACGCGTACTGGCCTTCTGCCAGTTAGCACAACTAGTGAGCAGAACTGCACGAACTCAAAGAGTACAAACTTGTTTTACTTTTCTACGCGTTTCGTCTAACAGTAGCAGACGTAGTCAGGGAGTTTTTACAAGTAGGGTAGATAAGCTTGCTTAAATACACATCGATGTCTATTTTCGATATCTCTTTTTTTTTTGGAAATAAATCTGTGACCCGAAACACTTTACGTACTCGTACATGTAACGTCCGAAAAATGTCACGCATGTATAACACCTTAGTCACTCCTTACGAATACTTTCCGCCTCGCTTCACACTAAGCGTAAAGGTCGAAAATTGACCTCGATGTCTGATGAATGAGCAAAATGCTGTAGATGATGACGTCACCTATGCGTCTTTCCTCCAATATTAGGTATGAACCAATCAAACGGCGGGGGTAATTCACCTTACTACATAACTAAGGAAAGATAGATGTATTATTTCAGTTTACAACTTTGGAGATTTTTTTATTGTTTAGGAATATGCAAGAAGGTTACAGGAGCAAGAAAATAAGGTACGCTTTTTATACTTACAATGTTTCTCGTACTTTTGTTTCGGTCATATATCTTTCAAAGAAGAAATGTTAGCTATGTCGACAACAAGTACATGTGTCTACCACACACGTGAAAAGTGCTTGTCGCGCGCGCTGATTGCTGATTGGCTATTTAGCAAGTGCTAGTCATTTCTAATTAATTTAATCAATTTTTCGGTCTCTGTGTGGAATATGCAGAAACAATTATCCACCTCAGGGTCGGTGAATAATGGTGGATATTTACCTCACCGATTTTGCGGCTCGGTAAATATCCACCACCACGTCGGTGAGTGATTGTCAACTGCTGGGAAGATAATCTCAAGAATGTTTTTTAACCATCCGTCTCTGAATATTTGATGCTGTCCGCAATTGAAATCTCTTCAGTATTTGTGTGCCTAGATGGTGTTGAGCTAACAACAATTTATTCCTTTTCAGTTATTAGAACAAGACCGTCAAGCGGAACACGACAGAAAGCTAGCACTGGAATATCAAGACAGGGTATGCGCCAGTTAATCATTATTTGTGATTATTGAAGATCTGGTCAAGATGTTTCAGCCTAGAGCGCTTTTCAATTGAGCGTCATAAGACCGAAACCATAGTAAGCACATCGGCCAATCAGATTAGAGAGAAATCCAAAAGGACTAATGAGAGGGCAATGTTAGCGCACGTGACCGGCGTTAAGCGCGGTAAAATGTGAGTGACCCAATGGCGATTGGTTATAGTTTTGCATCTGATTGATTGAGGGGATAACGCCAGTTTTCTAGCCGTCCTAAATGAAAGCAGCTGACAAGGATTTTTTCTTGAGCTGTTTAACACGGTCCTTCGTGAAGGCTGTGTCCTTAAACTCTCTCCTTTATGTCTTTCGCATCTTAAGGAATTTGCCAAAGAGCTTCAGAGAAGGGAATATATTCGATTACAAAAGCTGAAGAGAGAAAAACAATTACAGAGAGCACAGTCAGTTCCTGCAGAAAGCTCGTCTGGAAGTACTGGAGAACTGCAGGTGAGTTGTTCGCTTTCAGGAATATAACTGCAAGTTCCTTGATTGTTCCCTTATTTTAGAAGGCCATCCGTTTTGTTGCAAGCTAAATTTGCCGGTGTAGATAACAAGACAAGTTTACCCCCCCTCAATCAAATCAATCTGAGTCCTCGAAGATTTCTTAAAATTTGTTTCTGAGAAAGGGTGCGAACCCTGAGCTTAGCGCAGAAAGATTGAGTAAGCTATTTTTATTCGTTTATTTGGTCATGTATTTGTTTTTATTTGCGCAAATGTTCACATATATCTTTGATCCTTCCTCTGTCAGTCGCATCAGAGGCTTCCTTCTTACGAGGAAGCAACACACAGAAACCAAATGCCCGATCTACTGCAGGATGAACCAGCCTTTAAACCAGAACAAGATGCTCAAGGAAACGACTTTTCACATCGTAAATACAGCTGCCCTGAGAGACCAGCTACCTCGCGTTACAACGGTTCATTTGAACGAGAAATTAATGGTGCAAACCAATTGTCCCGAACCAGTTCTAATTCTCCGCCGAGCACGATACTCGACAGAGATCCGCTACGCCAACAGGAGTACAGATCGTCCGATTCTCCAAACTCATCGCAGCAATCTTCGCTGGAAAGATCGGCAGAATTTGTCAGGCAAACTTCCCAAACGTCCTCAACTAGTTCATCGTCTCAAGTTCAGGCTCTCGCGTCTCCGACATCACCGGTCACCCAAGAAGGGATCTGGGAACGACTCTATGAGGAAGGAGACCAGATTCCGTACGGCTCACGTGACCGTAGAGTCTTGGAACGGAGGGTAACTGTGGCAAGTTCCGAGCCTTCCAATCATATCACCACCGAGTTAGTTAACAATGGAAGTATTCCCAATGGAAATGAATGCAACATTGCAGAATTTATAGACCCCACCTTTGGCCGTAAGTCCCAAAATAGCAGTACAGAAGAAGACCCTACGCCCTCTCCGACGGGAGTTGAGTCGAAAGCTAAAGCAGTGCCGCTGATACAACCGCACCGTAGGCGCAGCTCAGATAAAAAAAAAAGAGAGAAAGAAAAAGAATGCAAACAGCAGTGAAAATCGGAGGATAAAGCGAGTGTCCAAGAACAGTTCTTCGTCACTGTAAATAGTGAATGGTTCCCGAGTTGTAAGCTCGGTCAAAGTCATTAGTTTTTTTAAATATTGACAGCTATTGATAGTTGTACAATTTAACATAAAACCGTAATGTAAGCCGAGCGATGTTTCATCACCGATAATTGATTATGGTGTTCCCAAGTTTTTCCTCCGCAAATTATTATAGGTAAAGCGAAGGGCACGATTGAGTACGAGCACTCCCTCCTTTTCGGCAAAGTCCGTTGCACGAGTCAAAACCGAAGGAAAAATGGGGGTAATAAAAAGCTGATTTTAGTGCATTGCGCGGAACTCTGGGAATGAGGTACACGGAAAGTACTCTACGCGGAGCGCGGAATCCGAAGGTCTGGAGTTCGATTCCTCGTGGTGACTCAGAATTTTGTCTTTGTCGCATACCCGTGATTTGACGAAAAACGTCTTTCTTTCTTTCTTTACCGAGCTCAAAACTAACAATCTTTCTTATTTTACTCTACTACTTCCTTGTACCCAGTGTTCAGCTCGGCACGCTAACAATTTTTTTTACTCTCTGATCAGTTTTGACTCTCGCTACGAACTTCGCCGAAATGAAGAAACTGCTCGTAGTCTAAGGACACGAAAGCTCGAGATTGAACTTACCACGCATTTTTTATGTAACAAAATGGCGTAATTACCTCTAGAGTACTCTCGTGAGTTTGTGGAATTATTTTGCTGGTCAATAGATTATTAAACTATGCAAGCACTTTGATAAAGATATGCGAAAAAGGATTTCAAGCCGAAATTAGGATCTTGATAAAACTGGAAAAAAACCACAATTTAAGTTAGTTGGAAATAATTTAGCTCTCTCTCCCTCTCTATGGAATATTTTTGCCTGTTTGTATAGTTTTTAGATCTAAACGTTTCGTTCTTTGCAAGTTCTTTGCAAGTTATTCCATCGATTTCAGCAGTAAATGGTATCCAACTTTAAGAATCACGTTTTCTTTGATCTCAAGCCATTTTTTCTTAAAACTCACACCTCTTAGCTGGCGAAGGGAAGTTTATTTTCAGGATGTATTGACGGAAAGACTTGCTGCGTTTTAAAACTTTCATATCAAGCAGTTTTAAGAGTAAATTTTATTTTTCAGAGATCGTCCAAAAAAAGAAGAAAGACTGCAAACTATTGTATGATGTACAAATTTTATTAAATGCGTAATGATAAGGTACAGGAAAGCTTCCCACAGGAATTCAGAAAAGTACGTTTTAGAGCTTTATTTAAACGTTGTGGCTTGTAGCCATGAGTTATGCATCATCATGCAACAAGTTAGAGGTGGAACTATTGTTTTCAGAAGCGAAGTATGCGGAATGCTAAAGAAATAAAACTTCCTCAAATTTATTATGTTTGTGCGAATATTCAGGTTTGCTTGTGACGGGGAACAGGAATTACTGTAATGTACTTGAAAGACGCCCTTTGTAAGAGCATAACTTGAAAATTTGCGAACCTATGATTGGGGAAAACCGCGATTTTGAGTACACCCTATCACCATGCATGTTTTTCATACTATTCTCTATAAAGGGAGTAATTTTTGAAGACACCGTGGTACTGATTCGGTCTGGGGTATAACAAGATCATTTGGTTTCGTCACCCGAGTTGATAACGTAAATTGGTCACCATACAGTTTGTAAAGCTGACGTTTCGAGTGTTAGCCCTTCGTCAGGGTGAATGTAGTGGGTTTGCACTCCTTTACTCCGGTTACAGTCATTATAGTCCTATTAAGCGGTATGGTTGCCAAGTTAAGTCACGATTCGCATAAGTTAAGAATCGTACTGCTGACAAGGAACCAATATGACTCTGGGCTCAATATTGGCTAAATTTGCATCCAATACATGACCTGCCAAGTTGTCACAAAAGAGACTGGGGAGTAGACAGCTCTTAAAATTCCTGTTACAATTACAATGTTTCGTTAAGTTGTCTCAGTGGGGAGGGTTCTCTCTGGTGCCCTGAGACCAAGAGACTAGGCTATATTCCTCAGGTAACCTTTCAGCACAATCAATTGAAGATCAAAAGGACTAACTCTTGACCATAGTTCAGTCTCCAAAGTGCCTATGTGTCTCGAAGTTTTCTTTTATTGTGGCAAAATGAATGATTTACAGCTGTTATACAATCCTATCAACAACTACCAGCTGTACTACTGACAAAGTAATCACAAATTTGCAATTCAATCAATTATCACAGAAAAATATGACACCAAAATCAAGAAATTACATAGCACACAATTTTGCATGTATGCAATGCAAATGCTCAAGTATATATGTCGTAATTACATTAAAAAGTCATCATTTGACATGACCACTCTACGGGATGAAACACATTTAGCTTTACCAACCAGGGAGAAAACCTGCACTTCTCACAAGAACCACCACAGTTGAGCAGGACAAAGCTAAACTACTTGATGTATTTTAATAAATAAATCTAACTGGCAAGCTAAATCTGCTGCATTTGCTTTCCCAGAAAGTTTCTGTTTCTTATAACAACAGACCCAAAGGGGAGGCAGACCATCATTTCTCCTCCTAGATTTCTTTTTTTTTCCCTTCATTTCTTTTCATTACCATTTACTAATTACATCAGGAGTACATATTCAAATGTGGACACTTTGCAGATCTGTATGGATCTAAAATGTGTGAATTTCTAAAACTGAGCTTTAGTGTATGTACACAAGTGAGAAAATCAAAAAACTGGTTTCATTTAGCAATGAAGATCAGAATATTATCTGCTTGCTGCACAGAACTCGCTGACTCAAGTCCAATGACCTAGCATTTCCACATTCAGATGTGGAACTGTCACGCAGTATACAATCCCATTACTCTACAGTATTTCCTGAACCATATTTCTTAAAGAAAACCCCGAAAAGATGCCTACTGACAGAGAATTTCCATTGGACAATCCCAACAAAAGGACTTTTAAAATTATTCACAGCCATAACAATTGAACATCACATTGACAAAGTGAAATTGGATAATGATTCTATAGTTATCCATTGAGTGATGCACACTAAAAGCTTGGTGACTGGGTTTTAACCCTAAAATTAAGGTGTTATCACAGGCAACCTTCCATGCTTCCCTTAGTAACTGTGGCTAACCATCAAACATGAAACTCTACCATAGAGTTCACACAACACCTTGCCACTGGAAATGGGGCCAATTGCTCATGACAACAATATGATTTTAATGTCACAACATGGTTGCCAAACATCCATTTGCACCTCTCTCAATTGAAAATTGTAGTAATCATCTGATATTCAAGGACTGAAAAACAAATATCAAAATCTTATTATGCTTCAACTCTCACTGAAGCATCTGCTATTAACACATGGGTGAAAGTGATCATTGACTAGATTGGAGGTGAAAAAAACAACTGTCCTAAAGATTATAACACTGTACATTGACGGTGCTTTCCATTTACCAGCTCTGGCCAGAATGTAGGAAACAGTTCCAGCCAGTGTAAATGGAGAATGAAAGTTCACTTCTCTTGAGCAAAGGCATGTGAGTTGTTTTCTCCCAGAAGTTTTTCATGCCAGAAGTTTTAACAATTATTTTCACACCATCAAGAGCATTTCATGAATGGTCTGCAAGAGAAAACAGGCTTAAACTGGCCATACTCGATGGAGGGTGCCAGTTAGGTCAGGAATGGACCTTTTACATTTACAGACACCATAGTTGGAATAGCCAGTTCTGACAAATGGAAAGCATCCCGAAAGCTTTACAAAGTTAGAGTATAGAAAAAGGTTTTCTTCGTCCAAGTCAGACATAATATACTCGCACTCTTGATGTGCTGACAAGGAGGTCTCCATCAAAGAACTTTGTTTCAATCACCACGTTGCCACTGAAAGAGACCACATACCCATACTCTATGAGCATCATTTCATCTTCAGAGAAGGATTGGTTAGAACAAATGTAACACCAGGGTTTAACCCTTTACACCCTAACATCAGTATGTATATTCTTCATACTATGCTCTGTACATTTCCTAACATGCTAACAAGGAGAACTTGTTAAACAATCAAGAGCTTCAGACATAGTTTGATGCTACTCTGGTTTACAGATTTAATGAATGTAACCGAAGAAGTTACAGTTCATAGACCCAACATTTTGACCAGCGCCTTTGTTTGGAGGCTTGGCATATTAACTCTGGCCATGCTCCTTTAAATCGTGACAATGGCAGTCTGCTTCCTGATGCCTATTTACACCTCATCAGAAAAAAGGCCACTAATTAGTGATTATATAAAAAGACCTCTTGTTGCAGCGTTTAGATCATCCCTGATGAAGGCACTAGATGGGAGTGTAGAAACGTTGGGTCTATGAATTGTAACTTCTTCAGTTACATGCATTAAATCTGTAAACCAGAGTAGCATCAAACTATGTCTGATTGTCTACCTGGTTGCCATGTGAACTTTAATATAATCAAGAGCTTCTTTAATAATGATCATTTCCTTTGTTCTCATAACTTTAAGGTTTGATTCAGCAGTGATATTGTTAGGAGGAATTTGATGCTTGTCAAGGGCTCAAAAGTTTGATAAGAATTCATTTTAGGACAGATATGGGAAACCCCAAGGATCTGGTTGACATTAAAAATCCCTGGTTGGATTCCTTGACTAAAATGTTGAAGTTTTTGATATCAAAGCAAAGAAGTAAGACTTACCTCAGAACCTGTGCAGGCATCATCTGTGATTCAGGAGCAGCTTCTATGAGTGACTGCCATGTGTTTGTTGATGCTGGGATCACAAATCCAAAATCAAAATACCATTCTGTAAAGACAGATCACAAAATGTAGTTGGCACCAAAAAGACGTAAAATGAGAAAAAGTTTGTGGTTCATTAAGGCAATTCCTACCAATACTAAGGCAGCAATACCAGTGCAGCGCTCTACCAACTGAGCTAACAAGCCAACTGGGAGGTGGTTAGCTCAGTTGGTGGAGCACTGCACCGGTATCGCAGAGGTCATGCGTTTAAATCCCATACAGGCCTGAAATTTTTTCAGGTCTCATTTCAACTACTAGTTCGGTAGCGTTCATAGCAGCAAGGATTGTTCATATCTCATTTCTTCACCACAGTGCACATATATAATTTTCATACATTTCCAGTCATGATAAACTACGTTACGCACACTAGAATAATGCTTGCTTACCTTCTAAACACTTCCCTTTGAACATGACTTTTTGTTCAAGTCTGAATTTTGTCATTTCTTGTTCAGAAGAAAAGTTTAACTCTCTGGAGACCGCCTTGCATTTTAAAATTTTTTTTGGTACTCTTGCTGATAATCAAACAAAGAAAAAAAAACTATAAGGTACCACCACTGGTAATTTCAAAGAAGAAAGTCATCATTTATTTAATTGTGCCTCCCATGCTGCAAAAGGCAGTTGCAATTTTATAAACTGAGTTATTGTTAGTCTTAATTTTTAATATTTAACTGACATTGTTAAAAAGAAACCACCACATACAGGAAGACTGAAAATAACAAGATACAAAAATGCTCCAGGCAACACTTAAAAAGGCACTTAGGCTGGGATGGTATTATCTGAAAATAAAATTCAGTCAGGTAATAATGTTTACAACTTCTCTTAATCTCTAAACCAGGGTTGTCATTAGAACCCTGTACTCTGCAGAAACCTGCTAGCTGAATTGTAATGTAAGTCAGAATGTCAATGTCTGGCTAAAAAAAAGTTCTCCAAATACAGCATGCTGCAAATCACCTATCAGAGTTTCAAATTTCAAATTTTTCTGGGGGAGCATACCCCAACCCCCCAGTAAGGTTGTTTTGCTCTGCAACATGCCATACTTGCTACACAAGCAGAATTCCATCCAGCTGCCTACTCAGTTTAGATCATACATCTATTAACTTTTCTAATCACAACCCTGTTGAGAGTAGTAAAAAGGCATCTTACCCTCATGCTCAGGTCCTGGAGCTGACCTGCAGAAACATATTACAAAAATGACCATCAAAACAGTTACGAGTCAACCAAAAGAACAGGAAAATTTTATGACTGCAGACCTTAGAATCTTTAAGTTTAGCCTTTGACTTTAAATATTTTATATCTTAATAAAAATATGATGTGAGACACTAAGGATTCCATCACAATGACCCAAAGACCTTGATTTAAATATCCCTCCAGTATAGTGTAAATAATAAGCTGAATAATACACCCATATTGACTGGTTGTAACTTGTGATTTATTTGAGGACAGAAGCATACTAAATGACTTCACCATTTACATTTTCTTCTTATTCAATGTACAAAACAAAGAGATTCCATGTTGATATGGGTCTTTCCAGAATACAGTGACACTTTTGGCAGCATCTCGCATGCCACTTTTTTGTTCTTGCCACATTTTGACACCTTC